TGTGTGTGTGTGTGTGTGTGTGTGTGTGTGTGTGTGTGTGTGTTCACTCAGGCAGTAAACAACTGGCATGATAAACACACTTTACCCGTTAAGGACTAATGAGTGTGGTGCTAACGAAGCTCACTGCCTTAATGACCTCACCGTTAACCATTAGCCACCTGATGAGCTCAGTGCTAATGCAGCATAGCATTAATGACTCCAAAATTAGCCTCCTAATGAGAGGAGACTAGCAGTTAGCTGCTAGCAGCTGGCAGGAAGTTCAGCAGAACCACCTTCCTAAATCATCCTGTGAGAAAAGGCCGAACATCAAGCAGCTGCAGGTACAACTCACCTGCACACTTGGTTCTGGCTCTGAGCGGCGGTCCAGGGTTGCCTGTTCCTCCTTCCAGGGGCCTGGTGAGCAGAACACTGATCTCATATTCAGTGTCGGGATCCAGGTGTCCAATCTTATGGGTGGGCTTATCAACAGGTGTGGTGTCAATCAACATGCCCGACATCGTACGGTACTCCACCTGCAAACCAAAGAGTCTGTAGGATCCTTCATTTGAACAGGTTTACAGGTTCTAGGGTCTCAAGGACGCACCACCATTAGCACCCTCCAATTTACCAACAATAAAACCTCATGAAAGGTCCTTYAGAACCCGAGGAACAGGAGACCTGTTCTCACCTCTCTGTCGATGATGGGCCCGTCTCCGTTGATGGAGTTGGCATTGAGCTGGATCCAGAGGTATGTGGCTCCGACTGCTGTCAGCTGAGGGGGTGCAATCGGTACTGGGGGCTCTGGGGGGACAACAGAACCCAGATCAGTTTGACTTACAGAGAACTACACACTCTCAGGGTTTCACAGATCTCCTAACGGGAAGGGAGCGAGTAAATGACTTAATTAATATTTGTGACCTTCAGCRAATCACAGCAGGCCTGGATTCTATTAGCCATGGTCCTCTGTGGAGACGCTCTACTTCCTCCTGACCCAGTTCATTTCACACACTGACACACACACACACACACACACACACACACACACACACACAC